GCTTCGTGTATACTGGAGCGTAAAGTTCTTCCGGCCGTCTACCGATCTCTCTCCGTTGCGTGAATAAAGACCACACGCTTTTCTCTGTTCACGTCAGAATGCTCTGTCACCTTATTAATCACTAAGATTGTTGATGACCTCACGTAAACCATCCAAGTCCAGCGTGTGCTCCAGTGACTGGACGTGGAAAATTCAGCTGTGTACAAATTATTTTCCGGTGAGCTAAAATTGTGCAACGTCTACCACAAATACGTCTCATTCACTTCAGTTACAATGTCAAAACGACCGGTGGTGACAAAGGTCAGGAATCCATTTACACGTGCTAGGCGCAAGACCTGGTTCCAATTACGCATTATAGGCTGCTACCGTAAGGACGATTGAGTTCTCACAGGACTGAGAATTCATAAAGGCAGCACCAATGAGCTATTGCAGTCTGACTGTCAGTACTGAAATGGACTCAGTTATCCCCTCACTTTGTAGTCATTTCCAAGCGTCGTGAGACTTTGAACCGCGAGTCGGTATCATTTGACTATGTCACAACTCAACTGCCTCAAATTGGCCTTAACTGGTCTATCCGGGTGGCGGGACGGCTGATGAGAGTAGAATTACCCAGAAGTGGCCGTCTCTATCCCCGTCCACGACTGTTTTGGGATTTTATGCTCCGAGTACAAGGCACCGCACTACCCCTGCGCATTCTTTGGGTTCCGCAACGACGAGTTGTTTGGATTTTTGGCCTGTGCGAATGCGTGTAATTTATGCTTCGTGGTCTACTGTTGGTCCTAGTGCGTGAGCTCATCTAGCATCGATTTTCTAATCAACCAATCAGGTTCGGTTTTTTGCCCCTTCTTTCAGCCTAGCTTACTTCACTACTTTCTAGAAAGACTGTTAACTGAACTTTAAACCCGCCTTCTACGCCTAATCGCTTCCATATATGTTGTCTCCTTTTTATTAAATCGGCCTTAATTAGACCAGTATTTCAGAAGTCCTGTAAACTTTTTGCAACATAAGATTTAACGACTGCATTTTTTGGTAGACATCTTTCGACTGTATGTCTGTTTTTTGATGGCAAACTACTTTTT